TTGTAACTATACTGAGACCTTAGAACTTATATCTCAAGGTGGGTGGCGCATTTACGTTGTAGATGTCTATGGGCTCCAGTAACCACTTAACACCAGGTGGGCTGTGAGCTCGTCCATCCATCTAAGTAATAAAAAAAAAATAAAAAAAAAAACATGGTATGTAGTGTGTGTAATGTTTTCTTTATTGATTTAATGTATCTTTGATGTATTATTTCCAAAAAATATTAGCATTTTGCACTTCTTCTCTATATTCTCTATAAGTGTGAAAAATTTCATACTCCTCCGTCCGCGCAATTTTCGTAAAAAGGGATACAAAGTTTTTGCTTCACGTATTAATATATATAGATTTTCGGTACAAAAATGCAATGGTAAGTTGATATTTTACACTTTTTATACCGAAGACTAGTTAAGCTCATTTTTTACTTTTCTTACAGCGAACCGCAAACGAAATAAGTAATGATATTTTGAAGAAGAAAATAGTATCAAAGGAAAATGTATTAATAAAAGTAGGATTCACGTGTGAGATATATGGACCTATCAGTGACTAAATATATGTAGAATAGATATATGTGCGTATGTATCAGTGACTTATAAGATAATCAATACGGAACAGAAAATACACGAAAATATACAAATTTGTAGAATCTAGATCACCAGAGTTCTATCGCAAAGGCCTATATGACCTTCCTATTAGATGGCAGCAAGGTATAGATAATAATGGTAGATATTTTGATTAAATAAATATGTTAGATGAAAAAAAAAAAACAAATTTCAACATTTCAGTACAAATCGGCAATTTCATACTTTAATCCCTAATACCTTATTAATTTGAGTTTAATAAATAAAATTGTGTTACAATTTTTACAAAACGTGTATTTTCATAAAACACTTCTCGTCATATTTCTATGAACCGACCAGTCACATCTGACAAATACCTACCATTAACATATCCGGGTACTGCGTCAGAACAGCGCGCAAAGCGTCCCCTTCCAACTGCCGGGATCATTTCATATTTTCGCGAGTCCATCTCTCAGGGCAAGTCAATTATTCACCGGGGGACGGGTTGCCGGGCGAGCCGGTCAAAAGTAATGACCGGTGAACGCGAAATTACACGTGTTACAATGATGATGTTTACCGGTTGCCCGGAGTAATTCCGTTTGAAGAGCTGTTAGGTTTTGGTTGTAATCGTTTTATTTAACGGGCCGAAACTGAGCGGTTCGGTTTTGTTGTTTGCGCTTCCGCTGAATTGACTGAATTTTGTTACGCTTTTTTAAATTCGTGTTTCGACTGAGCACGCTTGTCAACATCGCGTTGTCGAATCACATGCGAATACTAAGTAGGTACTAGTGATTCATTTTAATACGTAACATTTGACAATTCATCAAAATCCAACCACGTAACCTTGTAACGGCGGACATAAAATAATAATACGGTGAAGGAACAACATCGTGTAGTAAAAACCAAACCCGCAAAATTATAATTTGCGTAATTACTGATGGTAGGACCTATTGTGAGTCCACACGTGTAGGTACCACCACCCTGCCCATTTCTGCCGTGAAGCAGTAATGCGTTTCGGTTTGAAGGGTGGGGCAGCCGCTGTAACTATACTTGAGACCTTTAGCGCTTATATCTCAAAGTGGGTGGCGCATTTACGTTGTAAATGTCCATGGGCTCCAAACACCAGGTGGGCTGTGAGCTCGTCCACCCATCTAAGCTATAAAAAAGTACATAATGAATTTGGCTCTGATCTATGTAGGTAAATACGCGTTCGTTTTCTAATTAAAGAAACGAAAACTGTGAAATTTGGAAAAAAAATAGACGCAATTTTATTATTTATTGTAAGTTGAACTGTAAACAAAACTACAGCTTGTCTAACAACTGATCTTTTAATGTCAGTGACATAAGCTTTTTTTTGAACAAAAATAAAAGCCAAATCTCCGCGTGTCGCGTGACCATATCCGGTGGTAAGATTTATTGGTTAAATGTCAAGGGGCCGTCTACTGCTTTGCTTGCTTATAGCGTGTGTTACAGCAAAAACTTGATGCCACGCCGTCTGCCGAGTTAGGGTTCCTTGATCGACAGAGAGAAATGTAAAATTAAAATTTATTTATATTTGTATTTTATTTGGTAATCGCGTAAATTGACTGGTGGTAGGACGTATTGTGAGTCCGCACGGGTAGGTACCACAACCTTGCCTATTTCTGTCGTGAAACAGTAATGCGTTTCGGTTTGAATGGTGGGGCAGCCGTTGTAACTATACTGAGACCTTAGAACTTATATCTCAAGGTGGGTGGCGCATTTACGTTGTAGATGTCTATGGGCTCCAGTAATCACTTCACACCAGGTGGGCTGTGAGCTTGTCCTCAAACCTAAGCAATAAAAAAAAAATTGAGACCTTAACACCAGATGGGCCGTGAGCTCGTCTACTCATTTGAGCAATAAAAAATAAAAACCACATTTACAATGTGTATTATTTAAATTTTTGCGATTCGTAGAAATAATTAATACTATTTAACTTAAGGTTTAATATCGCGTTTTTTATTGTCGTTATACGAATGAGTGCGTCCGTGATCACAAAAACTTTAAAGTAAACCAAATTTCTGAAATAATAATATAATTATTATAAAACAGTGAGATAAAATCATACAAGTATAATATGTAGTTTTAATTAGTTGTACAGTTTAATTAATAGGTTTTTTTTTGTATCTTGGATATTGAAGACTTGTTGTATGAGTTTTCCGTGACAATCCAATTCCAATGAAAGCTCAAACTGAAAACTCGTAATAATAAATTTGGTGTTACGTAAAGACAATTAAATAATTCATTTATTTTTATTTTTTATTGCTTAGATGGGTGGACGAGCTCACAGCCCACCTGATATTAAGTGGTTACTGGAGCCCATAGACATCTAGACAAGAGGTCCTACCACCAGTAAAATCTCATTCGATCATTTAAAGCTAATAATGAAGTCAATAAGATTGAATATGTTTCATCGTATTTTTTAATAACAAAATAATGTTTAATGACCCGTTTGTGTTCTGTTAATAAAGAAGTAAGTAAAATAATTACGTTTAAAATAGAAATAGAAGTCCACAGAAAAATAATATAATTATTTTACACAGTTAAGGCATGCTGAAGAACAACAACCACATTCACAAAACTTAGACGTGTGAAATTATTCTGTAGTTACTTTTTAATACGTAGCGTACACCAAAACTTTATCTAATATTTATCAAAGTTTCATTTTAAATGAACCCACGTGAATAATGTGATCCCGCCGAAAGAATCGGAGGAAGCTTTTTACTCCTGCAAAATTTTGGACACCCAGGTAGGAGTCGCGTGACCATTTTATTTTCTATGTAAATACTAATAAGTCACATATCGAAATATTTATTCAGCTTTGTTCGAATAAAAACTGAGCAAGGTAGTCTGTGGTTTTTTTGTACGTTATAAGTAATGTAAGTAGGTTCTAAATGTTGATACCAAATTTAACTTAGGTAGGTATTTTGTACCGTATGTTCCATGGGGAGTGCTCTGAGGAATTGTTCGAGATGATACCGGCATCTCGTTTTTACCATCGCATCGCCCGCCACCGGAGTAGAGTTCATCCGTACTACCTGGAGCCACTGCGGTCACAGTGCGTTTCCAGAGGTCTTTTTTGCCACGTACCATCCGGCTATGGTATGAGCTCCCCTCCACGGTGTTTCCCGAGCGCTATGACATGTCCTTCTTCAAACGAGGCTTATGGAGAGTATTAAGCGGTAGGCAGCGGCTTGGTTCTGCCCTTGGCATTGCTGAAGTCCATGGGCGACGGTAACCACTCACCATCAGGTGGGTCGTATGCTCGTCTGCCTACAAGGGCAATAAAAAAAAACTCGAAATGTGCTTATTAAAAATTGTTGTTTTATTAAAAATACATTTGCTGAACGTTTTCTTTTCAGTATTTATTATACTTAATAGCTTAAAGCAAAAGTAATAGCATTTTTTTATTGCTTAGATGGGTGGACGAACTCACAGCCCACCTGGTTTTATGTGGTTACTGGAGCCCATAGACATCTACAACGTAAATGCGCCACCCACCTTGAGATATAAGTTCTAAGGTCTCAGTTTAGGTACAACGGCTGTCCCACCCTTCAAACCGAAACGCATTACTGCTTCACGGCAGAAATAGGCAGGGCGGTGGTACCTACCCGTGCGGACACACAAGAGGTCCTACTACCAGTAATAAGCAATAATATTTATAAATACATTACATTATACGTATATGCATTAGTTCAATAAAGCAACTACAACAGAATTCTCTACACCTCCCTTGGTTGACTGGTAGAGAATACCGCATTAAGACCGCCTCTGTATTCTTGTGCATAAAGTTAAATAAATAAACAATTAACATTTAAATTTTATTTCATACGAAGCAATAGTCTAGTAAAGTCTAATAACTTATATTAAATGATTCCCTATACAACAAAAGCCACACGCCAGTCGTGCGACCATATCCGGTGATAAGATTTATGTCGCACGATTTGTTTATTCTACCTCCTATGGATTGACAAAAACTTCGGTGCCAAGCCGTCTGCTACCAATAGTTACGTCGGCGCCGGTCAAACATGACAATCCTGGCTCCACACGTGGTCATTAGTTGTCAAAAACATTAAGGGTCGTGACGGTCAAGTTTTTGCGGTTATCTGGATCAAAAATTTGATCCGCATTAGGAATATTTTTTATTGTGATCTCAAACTATAGGAGGATATAATCGAGGACTGAAGGGCCATTTAGTTTAAGTGACATTTCCCTTAATACGCGACATTTATCTTTCTAATTAAAAGTTCGTGTTGTTTGATCCTCCTATGCTGTTTGCTGATAACCTTGAGAGGCTATTTCAGCTTCGCTCTTACGTTGTAGCTGAGCTCACGGTGCTTAAACTAGAGCGTTGCTAACACTGGCCCTAGCGAGAGCAGTGTTTCGCAGAATCTACCACCGGATCGGAAACGCTGGCTGGAATGAGATCGGCAGAATTTAACGCAGTCCCCACTACGAAAATAACGCGACCAAGCTACCCGCATTAAGGGTAATCGCAAGGGTCAACCGTTCCGCAGTGCAATGGAGCAGCCTCGCCCTGGAGGAACCGCCTACTTGATCACGGTATCACCCTACGCCAGGTAAGTATAACAGGTATAACAGGTTGCTTGATATTAGCATCAACAAATAGGTGTTTTTAATCAAATTTCAATTATGTTTACACTAGTTAAATAGCTAAAGAAGTTTTTGAAGTGAAAACTTCTTTAGAATCGTTGTGATTTCAAACCGGATGCAACGGAAAAAACGACAGGTAAGAGACACAAATACAAAAATGTGTAGGATGAAGCCAGCAAAGAATGAGACAGAAATATACATACTATTTAATACAGCGCCATCTGTGAGATTTTTTAATACTAACGTGTGTATGAAAGCTCTTGTAGTGAATTTTAATTTAGGATTATACGTCAAATTAAAATATCAATTCACAGGGGGCGCTACCTTACAATTATTTACTAATGACAACATTTTACATATAGACGTTTAGGATAATTGTATTTTAATTTTGGAAGATTTCACTTCTACCACGTGTGAATTGCACACATTTTGTTTTTTCTTTCATAATATTTTTTCAAAAATTTTAAAATTCTATTTGTTCTCCTGTAAAGTGTCAAAAATATCTCTTAAACCAAATATCCTTTCAACCTCTCGCTATGGTATTAGTACTACCCAGTATTGGCAAGTAATGAATATAAATCAGGTTGACGAAAACCTCCCAAAAACTCATTAGTGTTAATTTAACTCAATTATAATTGCAATCAAATATCAGCTTTCATTCAATGTTTGTTTCAAGTATGTCTCTCCAATATAAATCAATCCGTGATATAGACATCTGTTTAGATGTTCATAATATTTGACGTATGCGCTTAATGAAATGGAGTGTGTATTTATTAAGTTAATTAAGCTGTTCTTGAGGAGACGCTGGGGGCGGAACAATGTCGACTATGGGATTTCATCGTATCTATGTAGGGTACATGATTTTGTAGCGGTTTTGTAATTTTTCAACAGTTTCATTTCGTTTATAATAATAACTAGACGATGACCTTTTTTTTATGATAACGTCATCTTGTTTTGTCTTTAAAGGGGTTAGTTGCCCTCAATTTAGAAAAATAGTATTATTATTCGTCAATAGATGTCGGGAAGAGTTGATTATTGAAAACACTTGTATAATAAATTTTATGAAAATCGTTGGAACCGTTTCCGAGATTCAGATTATATATATATATATATATATATATATATATATTAATATATATACAAGAATTGCTCGTTTAAAGGTATAAGATAAAGTTCTGTTTTTAGTGTTCCATATTTGTATTTTAAGATGTTTTGACGAGTTGTAGATTTAATTTAAAATTCAGATTTATTCAGATTTTAAAGTTTAAATTTTTTTACAATCCGATATTGAACCACATCTACACGTATCGGCCAATAGGTTCCTCCGAGGTACGTATTACGTACGTAAATTCATAAATTAGCGTATTGGAGATTTAAGCTTATATTGTGCTAATGGCACAATATAAGCTACTTAATGCATTCATTCTAAAATTTAATTTCGACAAAACGTTGGATCATCTTTATGATTGTCAACGCGGATTTGTATTTGAATAAAATATTTATTCGATGTGATGGAAAAAATATATCAAGTGATAGATCTGTTTAAATTTCACTTATTGACATTAGAAAATACCTATGTACGAGACTTTTGTTTGTGAAGTTTGGTAATGTATTTTGGCAATTAAGAATAGTACATAATTTTTAATGTGATTAATTATGTCACTTTTAAGGCCTTTTTTATTTTTATTATCACCTTAGTAAATATTGACGTGAAACAATATTCATGAGTTTCAAATTGTAATTGAAAACATTACATAGATAAATGAAAAGTTTTAAATAGAATTTCTTTTAACAAACGATCTAACAGAAAAAGATGAAAAAATTACACATCCACATCGAACTTCATATTTTTGATGTCAAAAGAAATGAATTTAAAAAAACGGAAAAACAGTTACGCTTTCAATTATCACTAGATGATGACCGAGCTTCGCTCGTTTTTTTTTTTTTGATAACGCCATCTTGTTTTGTCTTTAAAACGGTTAGTTGCCCTCAATAAAGAAAAATAGTATTATTATTCGTCAATAGATGTCGCGAAGAGTTGATTATTGAAAACACGAATAAAACAACGTTTTCTGAAAATAAATCGTAGCTAGATCGATTTATCGCCCCCGAAATCCCCTGTTTACTAAATTTTATGAAAATCGTTGGAGCCGTTTCCGAGATTCAGATTATATATATACACAAGAATTGCTCGTTTAAAGGTATAAGATAATTAGAGTAAAATTAAAAAAAAACTAATCTCCTTCGATGATAACAATACAAACACAAGCTAATTAAATTTAACGTTTCGCGGTAATTCTCTGAATATAACACAATGAACATATACGAGTCTTAATATTCATAATACCGTAAAGTAATGAGACATTATTAGGGGTAGGAACTCATATTTAACTTTTGAAGAATCGACTGACTGCCTTTGTCTAATGAAGCGAGGGGATGACGTAATGTATGTATGTATGTAATGTATTCGAAAATATATGGAACGTGTAATTAATATATGTATTTTAGAGGAAATAATTTATGAATGTTATAATTTGTGTAGCGTTTATCTATTTAACCAATTCATTGAAGTCGTCGTGTGTGTCGAAGTGATAGTACACTCTCTCAGAATGACCACCGTGAACTCACCTACCAGACATAGTGTAGCTGAAATTTACCCTTAAGCTGCCAACGAATAGGCAGGGGAAAAAACGAATAGACATGTATGTGACGTCATACAAGAGTTAACTAGACCTAGAAAATATCATTCATGTAAACAATCGATATTTTTTTTAATTTCAAATTAAGTCATTAATGTTTTTCTTATAATAATATTTCAAAACGCATCATATTTTTAACATATAATCTAACAACATATTGCCATCAAACAATATTCAAATAAAGTCATGTTTCAAATATTCCAATGACTTCTACGTTATTAAATTAGAAGTATTTAAAGCCAAACTCAAACTCTTCGATGTTCAATCCATGTTCAATCCGGCTCACGGTCCATCCCTAAAACATAGATCACTCCTTGACAGGTCCTCTGCCTCCGTAATGAAGACAACACTCCTACAAACTATAATACTCTATCTAAATGCATCGTCGACAGGCATAAACAATTGAAATAATTATCAGGATAAGCCTCCTGGATCACGGAAAGCCCTCGAGATTTTAACCCTTCTGAGAACATGACAACGTCTTATGCAAATTCACAAACTTGTTGTTTACAACAGACTTTGCTTTTATCACTTCATTATGCTAAGACTAAACAAGCTCTGGGGCATCGAAATAAGGGTGAGACCGGTAGACTTTTTCGGCGTGCTTAGGTCGTTTTGTTACTGCGTGACGGTAATGGTTGCTCAATTGGCTCTTCGTATGATATGGCTAAACTTATGTTTCGCTCAGTTTCTTGAATAATGGATCGGTTCTATTTTCGTACCTCCACTTCTGTAGCTTTGATAGTGAACGAAAATTTCTGTTTTTCCATTTATAATTCGATTCACACTAACTGAACCTTTCTTCCTGTGAACTGAACTATCTCTAAAAAAGTGCCGCGTAAATAGAAAATGAGATGATTTTGTCTGAATTTAAATTAGTTCTACGTTACGTCATACATATTGCTGAACCTGTATTAGTTCTAGAATACTCTAGAATGTATTTATGGATATCTTTTTTTACGCTATCACATGATAATCGAAGCTAATTGACACAATAAACGAAAAGGGAACGCGATTGCCAACATTAAGACACTAAACTAAATACTGAATTGCATTGTAAAATATCTATAGTACTCTAGCAACCTCAACTCATATTATACGTGACCCGGAGCTTATGAGTTGCCCTACCTGTCTATGGACTCCAGTAACCACTAAATACCAGGTTGCTCGTGACTACGTCTGTCCATACCCAACAATAACATAACTATACTTTTTTTTACATTTTGGTTCTTTATTGCTTAAATGGATAAAAGAGCTCAATGTCTGATATCAGACTCTATAGACTTCACAGTATAAATGCTGCTTCCTAATTTAGGACATGAGAAGAGACCTGTCGAACCGGAATGGATGTATGTTTCGTGACAAAAATCGGCAGAAAAGATGTACCTAACCGCACAGGCTTACAAATTACATACCGTCAAAAATACCGATTGTTTATTGCAGTATGCTGGTGCTTTTTTTTAAGGAAATGAAAGGTTGCTGATGGCCCGAAGGCCTTTCCAATTTCACCAGGACAAGTGATGCTGGTGTATAATACTCAGAGTATACTGCTATCGATTTTCCGGTGAATGCCTTAGTTGCCTATAACGATATCCACCGGGTGAAAGGGACTGGTGGTATTATACGCCAATATTTCCATACAGTCACCCACTCATATGCAAGATATAGAATTACGACTAAAAGGGATAAGTTCTGGAGGATTTTTTTTTATTGCTTAGATTGGTGGACGAGCTCACATCCCACCTGGTGTTAAGTGGTTACTGGAGCCCATGGACATCTACAACGTAAATGCGCCACCCACCTTGAGATATAAGTTCTAAGATCTCAGTATAGTTACAACGGCTGCCCCACCATTCAAACCGAAACGCATTACTGCTTCACGGCAGAAATAGGCAGGGTGGTGGTACCTACCCGCGCGAACTCACAAGAAGTCCTAACATCAGTAAAAATGAGCTCCCAATAAAAGACCAGTGACGGTAACAAACCAATATTCAGAACTATAGACCCTGTACTTTTAGAAAACATATTCTATCTCATTCTGGCACGGGCTAAATCCTATAGATGTAAATGTTTGTCACTTTTTAGTGTTATTTTTTTCTTCGTTTCGTAGTGTTTCAAATAACACCGATACCTAAATAAGTTTTCACTTCAACAATCTCAACGGACAATTTAATATTCTACAAATGCTTTTTGCCCTGAACACAATGTAATACGATTCAAATCAGCTGACGCCTGAGGTCAACGGCCTCGTGATGAGGGAAGCGACCGCGAGCGA